AGTGGCCTGTGTGAAATCCATTTTGAATCAATTTTACTAGCGTTATGCAAATATGTGAGATGTATGTATCCATGTAATTCTTTATCAGAATAATCCAAATGCTATTCTATTTATAAACTGTATGTCATACCTCTAAGAAAATATCAATGTTTATTTTCATAAGCTTTGGTTTAACACGATGCTCGGCGCAGGCTAACGTTTTTGTTCTGAGGTCTGGGACGTCTCAGCCGGCAGTTAGTTATAGGAAACCTGTGGTCTGTTTATTTTAGTGTGGTGTTTTAACTCCAGTATTTTAGATGCTTCATGTGGTCGAGTATGTACCGCCTACGGCTTAGAGCCAATGATAATGTAATTGTACCCTCAGTTCTAGAATAGTTGTTGTAGAACACGGGTCTAATGTGACACTCACTGTGAGCCAGATGTGTTTGAACCAGGGGTGGAAGGAAAACTGGAATACGCTGCATGACAAGTGGACGGCAGGGTTGTGCTCTTATTGCAGGGTCCTTACTGTGCAATTTAAAGTGTAATGTAATTGGTGCTAGATAAAGAAAAAAACAGATTAATTTATCACTGCTCAATTTCCTTAAAGAGGACTACCTGTTAGAATGCGTTAAAGAAAATCTAAAGCGCCTATTTAACTGTAACCACAGCAGTATGAACATGCACGTTCATTTCTATCTAAAACTGCTTTCTTAGGTGGCTGGGTGAGGATTAAAAAGACATTTAGAAGTATCCTTAAAACGTCTTCAGTGCACATGAGTATACTGTTCACTTCTGGTTAGTTGCTTAAGTCTTCTTAGGTGTGTTTTTGACAGAATATTAAACTATTTGTAAAGGTCTGCATACTGGGTTTTTGTTTTGTTTTGTTTTGTTTTTTTTAACAGTACGTGTCCGTTTTTCTACATTATAAAGAACTGAAACCCATCAGCAAAACTGTTCTCTGGTCTTACACTTTAAGAAATAAATGCATAATTAAAGAAGCACTGACGGCTCATTATCCAGACTCATTTCCAGAAAATGTGCCAGTTTTAGTAAGGACTGTAAAAGTGGGGAATGTTATTCCATTAAACTGTTATTTAATGGGATACTAAATATTTAAAAAAAATAAAAAAAAGTTTTCGTATTACTTAGTGTAGCTTGGCAGGCCACGAATGATATCAGTGTTAGAAATAAAGCTTTAAAACGTATAAAAAATACTGTTAAAAGTTAGAATTTTTTTGCCTTCCTGGACTCAATTGGACCCTTTGGTGGGCTGGTCTGGCCTCTGTACCCTATGTTTTACACCTTTGTCTTAAAGGAAGGCTAGGTTTTACTGAATAGCATGGTCTGATCTTACCTGGTCTGGTAGTAGAGCATTATGTAAAGGTGGTTACAGCAAACCTAAGAAGGCTGTCTTTTAGAAAATAAATACCACTGCCATTCATCTCCTAAAAACCAGCCATAGTACCTCTGTGAACAAAATGTAACGCAAAGCAATTTAAGTAGCATATAAATACTTTTTAGACTGCCATTTTTTTTAAAAGCACATAAACTACTGACTTTATAATGTTATAATGCACGTATTCAGTTACTTCCACCCTGGAGTCAAAACCGTCATTTAACTCCCTGTAACTTGGAGCCTGCCCTATCTGTGGTTCAAATCAATCCCTGCCTTAGGTATAATAAAGTCATTCATACCTCATCTTTTCTCCTCGTCTTATTTGTGTGTGTGTTGTGGACATACCGCGTGTTTTCACCAGGCTCGTGAATTATTTCCCACCTGTTGGTGAAGAGCGAAAGTGGCCGGTTGCGCTTCCCCACCCATCATAAGAACATAGTTCCGGGTTTTTCTCAGCCGAGAGCTGCTCGCTGCCGTTGCTCTTCTCTATTCGCCAAGCTCATAAGGAAGGATCATGTCGCTTTTAATGGAAAATCAGTTCTGTGAACTGCCCCCTGACAAGGCGATCGACACGAAGACATTCCTGGACACCGTCTCTCATATCCCTGCGTTTTTTGGTGAGTGCAACTCCATCTGAAGTCATACAAAAACACGTAAGGTGACTTTGCGAGTTCCCTCGCGTCGCTACGGTGTCAGCCTTCGTACTTTGCTGATTTTTTTTTTTTTAATTTTACGTCGTCTGACCACCTGAGCTTGGTTTTCACGTCGGGACGTGGTTATTTCACTTCAGAAATTGAGGTGTCGGGTCACGGGGACCATGTCAACCAGCTGCGGCCGTTTGGCCTATAGAGAAACTCTTTGTTGACTCTGTGAACAGAGCACACATTGCCCTCATTGTGACTTAACTGAAACTGTGCATTCACGGCATTTTTTTTTTTTTTTTTAGCTCTCTCTTTGTAAACAGCTGATTGGCATTCATCCCCTCCTCTGAGCCGGGGACATGTCAACTCATTCATATTTTATTGGCCCTGCTCTCAAATGTCTCGTTTCTTTTCCAGACTGCTTAGGATCAAAAGTGTTTTCAATCATCAAATCAGACATTAACGGCAATATAACGGTAAGATGCAGGCGGGCATATCTATTTGTGTTACTGTAAGCGATTTAAATTAGAGATAGGTTCAGCTCCGACATGCAAACTGAACTCAAATGTGCATTTTCAGAAAATTAGAGCGGTATATGTCACTAATCCCGCAAAGTACACCACCCTGGAGGACATTGTGGTGGCAGAGCGAGAGGCTCATGGAGCAGAGTGGCCTAAAATTGGAGCAACGTTAGCTCTGATGTGGCTGAAGAGGTAAGGACCTCCTGAACTCAAAGTTGTGTCATGCTGTCTGTTCAACTTTCGTCTAGTGAAATGAAAGCCTTTATGTACTCCGTTTCTCCTGCAGGGGTCTCCGTTTCATCCAGATTCTGCTCCAGAGTTTGGCAGACGGGGACAGAGATGAGAACAACCCCAACCTCATTCGGGTTAATATCACAAAAGCCTATGAGCAGGCACTGAAGCGATACCACGGCTGGATTGTTCAAAAGATTTTTAATGTGAGTAACATGTGGAAGAAATTCATTGTTTCTTGTTGTGACACAACACAGACCACCCCAACCGCACCCAGACTTGATAAGAATCGAGAACTGGTTTCAGATTGTGCAGTCCACTGCAATCGCCTCATGCTGGCGTGTTTTTCTCTACACTGCATAAAAATGCTTTCAGATTCATTACAACTGCGTTTCACTTTGAAGCGTTGTAACCTTAGGTGCCTCACCTTATGAGGCTGCACAGCATTTTTGTCTCTTGAGCCCATCGCTATGTTGTAGTCCCACATTTTGCAAGTGTCCCAAATCTTGTCGCCAGCACGACATCCAAGAGGGAAAAATTGCAGTTAAGCTGTGGAGGTGATGGAACCTACCACAAAAAAAGGAAATGCAGTTGGGGAAACTACATCTAACAGAGGATGTTAGCAACTATGAGAATATGGCTGAAGTCTCATGTAACATTTTTAACTTATTGGTATAAGAAGGGATGTCAAATTCAGTCTACATTGTGGGCCACGTACAGCCCTTTGTGATTTACATGCTTAATCCATGAGATGTTTTGATATGAGGGAAAAGAAGAACAATTTCAATAGGAAGTCTCAATTTTTCTACGTGATGGAGAATTGCTGCTGTAGTACATGACAGACGTCTGTCAGCATGACACCCTGGGCTCAAATTTTAATAAATAAAAGTGTAGAATTACAGAAAAAGTTCAGTTAGCTCATTGCCCAGACTGCTCTGTAATTATAAACCTGAGAATCGACAGAAAATTACCTTGTTTTGTTTTTATTGTAGACCCACAGTAAAATCATACATTTCCATAGTAGATAGTGTAACCTTCTGTCATTTCATTGTATCTATTACTTAATTACTTTTGCATAACATGAATGGCCATGGTAGAGGTCTTTATCATTAGAAAAATCTGTCAAACTGAGTTAAAGTTTAAAATCCACGCCCTCATTTACATTTCCAAAGCCGTGTAATGTGCCCTTGTTCACAAGCGGTCTCTAAACTGGGTGGGATCGTACGTATGTTTTAACAAAATGCCTCAGTTTTTTAAATGATAAAGAATTGAAAAATCCATCTGCAAAGCTTTTGGGGCGTACACTGAAAGAAATAAATGCATAATTTTAAAAAAAGCACTGACAGGTGGTGAATTGGACTTTGCACTGCAATTAAAAAAAACCCAAAAAAAACAACTTTAGGTAATTTCTGACCTCCATGCCTTATGTTTGACACCCCTGGTATAGGTGATACAGTAGAAGTACAGGGAACACAGAAGTATACAAATATTAGATCAACTTTCCACTTCCTCTAACCTCCTTTGGCTTTTTATTGCATGTACTTTGCAAGGTAGTTAAGAAAGTGGCATTCAAATAAAATACAGCTGTTGCCAAACCCGTAACCTACAAACCTTTGAGTGTTTATTTAGTTTGGCAATGTCAAAATGTGTGTAATGTGTCCCACACAAACACTCTTTGCCCCACAAGTTGTTGTTACACTGTGGTCACCTTACTTGCAGCCCCCCAGATAAAATGGGTGCATGGGTCTATTCTTCTACACAGAAAATTGATTAGGGATCAATAAAGGATAAACAATGAGACTCATAAGCAGGCTCGATAATGGCATTTGTGCCAACATAATCTTATCAATATTGTCTCCTGAGCTGATAAGGCTTTTGGTCCTGGGTTAATAGATTACATCAAAAGACAATCCACAGCAAAGCACTTTCATTACATGCTATATAATGTTGCATACATACACCCATCTTCATAGTTTTCATTAAAATCCATTTAACCTTTCAGTAAAACCAGCTTCTCCATCTTTTTTCGTTTTTGTTTCATAGGCTGCGTTACTTGCAGCTCCCTACAGATCAAACTTTCTGAAGGCTCTGTCGAAAGGAGAGGAAGTGAAAGAGGAGGACTGTCTGGCAAACATGCGTCAGTTCCTGGTTAATTACACAGCCACTATAGATGCCATCTACGAGATGTACACAAATCTAAATGCCGAGCTGGACTACACCGTTTGATGTCCCGGCACATGGCTGGACCGGACGCGCAGGAGTATCCTGCATCACTCTCAGGTTTCGCAGACGTCCAGTTGTTTTTATTAGGACTGTTTTTTTTTTGTTTTTTTTTTGTGTGTCCCTTCTTGGGTGGTATTTATTACTTTGATGATGCAGTAATCATTACTAGCACTGTGAATTTGCTCTCAAGATGATGCCTTAATAAAATGCAGTTTAAAGTCTTTTTTTTGTTTGTTGTTGTTATTTTATTTCAACTTACTACTGCAGCCTTTTTATTTAAATTTTTGGGTGGGTTACTGCTTTAACAGACTTCTTCACCTTTAACTTTAGTTCCCGTCCATGTCTTACATTCAAATGTTCTCCACCTCCATCCATGAGCCTGGGAAATTATATGTTTTACCATCCCGTATTATTAGGTTTGTAAATTTAGGGATTTCAGAGTGCCTTGGTGTCACTGAACGAATGTTTTGAAAATATTAAATATAATAGAATATTAAATATATATATTCTCATCTATAAGTTCAACTGTAAAGAAAAGCTAGTAGAAGATTTTTTTTTTTTCTTTTTAAATCCCTCTAAGGGCTTGGAGTTTGTGCTGTTATTGTTCAGCAGTAGGGTGTGACATGTGTAAGCTTTGTTTGCATTGTTGTGTTACCTGTTGTGTGAACCTGTAGTTCTAATTACGTTTCAACTGCTTTAAAACTTCTTTTTTTTTTTGTCTGAAGCTGTTTTTCATTATGTCATACAGCCAAGTCATGTTCATGTGTACGTTGACTTGATCAGAGGCGTGTTTTCTAACTGAATACTTTATATGGTGTTTGTTTTAGAAGAATCATCTGTGATCATATTTCTTAAAACTGACTCAAAATTAAATTCAGTTCACGAATCTTACACTAGGTGGCGATATCTGCTTGCTTTCCCCCATCTCCTTCTTGAGCGTGGCTGTGTACAACTACAGCAAGCAAAACTGATTAAAAAATGGTTAAATGCTGCATGTAATAAATAAAGCCGTAGTTTGGGAAAACGGCTTTGTGAAAGAGCTCTTAGTGGCTTTAAAGTTGACTTTTAGTCAGTTTATTTATTTTTTTTATACAGAAGTAAATCAGAGAGGATTCACTTCCTCGTGCATCCTAATCCTCCAAATCAACCATCCTCTTCCTCTCCTTAGTCTAACTTATCTGAAGTGTTTCCCAGAGGCCAGAGTGGCTCTGGTTCCTCTCCCAGAGGAGCCCAGCCTGAGTTAATCGTCTCCGAGCGAGAGAAGCACGTCTGTAATCCTGTCGGTTTATCAGCAGCACTGCCTGATAGGACGGAAAAGCTCCAAGTAAAGACAGGACACAACAGACTAAAGACCGGAAATAATTTATGACAGCGATTCAATGACAAAGCCACTGACCTTTTACCGCTGACATATTTGTTATGCGCAATGAGGTCATCATTTGAATACTGCAGTTTTATTCCTAACAGGGCGCCTAATGTCATTATTCACACCATCTAGGTTATTTGTTTTATAATGGCCTGCTTAAAGTGGCTGTGCATTTCGTGTCTGGATCGCAGCTAGAAGCGTCCAATTTAGGAGGACAAATGAACCAAAATAAGGAGCGCAGGCAGGCACATCATCGGACATTAGCAATTCAATAGCTGGGGGAACGGCCAGCCCATTTCTCAATAATGTGAACAACAATATTCACGTGAATATGTCTTCAAGGAAGCATGTATTTTTCATATCAAAATGTAATATCTGCAGGAACAGGCCTGCACATTTTCACTTACGTATTTTGAAGTATTCATTGGCTTCTGCCTCAAGCATGAGCCATCCATCTGGACTAACATCATTCAGTGATAACAAAATTAGCGCTTTCGGCTTGCATCATTTATAAAGGAGCCAGTCCAATCTTTTCCAGCTAAGGATTGACTTGCATCATATAATAAAACTGAAATCTTTGGGTGAAAAGATGGATCTTAATGGAACGAGGTTAAAAAAAAATAAGAGAGCGACTCGCCTTGTGCTTAAGCTTTAAATCCCTTTGCAATAAAGCCAGAAAAAAAATCTTGTCTTCCTACAACTGCTTTATCATTCGTGAATATAATAAAGACTGCAAGTTTGCCAGATAATGGCTATTAATAGGTAATAAGACAGTACTCGCTGGGTTTAGAAAATTTAATTTACTTGACAATCCTTATTAAGAAGAAGCAAAAAAGGGTGAGGGATTAGGGTCGTACATTGCAAAATGTAGTTATTTCATCAACATAATTCATGGAGAGCGCTCACATATTCATATATAATAATTGCACTTTATAAGAGAGACAGTTTGCCATATAAATCAAGGGAGAGGGGGGTGGGGACATAAATAAATTGGATTACAGAACCAGTGCAGACACACAAAGAACTACTCAGTCACACATCTCAAACCATCGCAGATAATATAGCCCTACAAAGAAGACACTGTAAATGATTCAGGCGGCCTGCTCCTCTACGTAGCACTTCCGTTATACACACGGCGTCGTGAGAACAGTGTCGGGACTTTATGTCATTCAAGGAAAAATGTTCACACAAGCTTCTGAAATTCAAAAACAGTTTAAAAAAATACAACCAAGGGCATATCTTGCTTGGCCTGAATGCCACAGTGTTGATTTGGATATGCAACAGTCCTTAAAAGCCGAGCTGAGCGTGACTAGGTTAAATCAGTATAGGTGTTTAAATTACACAAGTTTCTCTGTGACTGTAACAAAAAAGTATGTTGGTTAGATGTATATATATTCACATTTGAATGGTGAAAGTATTTCCCCATGCAGCATCTAGGAGAGTTGCATCGTACTGAGAAAGCTGGGGCAGTGCGTATGTCCGATAAAGGAAAGCCAGGAGAAGGAAACCAAAACACAAATCCACAAGAAATCAACAGACAACCAAGAAGATTGGTTAAAAGTGATTTTTGAGGAGAATTCTTGCTCTCAAATAACTAATAAGAAAAAACCCCATAAAACAAATACAGTATATTCACAAAAAGGCTTACCAGAGATCATTAACCGGATTCAAGTAAAAGTTTTCAGAAGGTTACCGATGATTTTGTAATGTAAAAATGCAAATAAGTGCTCGGCATCACGTGAACGACAGTAATCATGTCCAATGGCCATTTAAAGATATAAAAATACAACGTGGAAAGTCCATAGAATAAACCTGTATTTTAAAGTCATGATTATCATTTTACCTTTTTTTCTTTTCCAGGCTTGTGAGACAAAGCCTTCTACAAATAAAGTACATGCACAAACAAAAAGGCATGTCTCTCGCTCACAGACACCTCTGCGGTCTATAAAAGATGTGTCGCTTCCCTGTCCTGCCGTCTTATCTGTAGACGGGGAGCTGGATGTGGGCTTGCTGTTGGTGCTCCATGAGCGGAGGCATCCCCATGGCTTCGTACCCACGGCCCAGCATGCGCTCTTTGATGCAGGGAGGGTGGATCTCACTGATGAGGCACTCCAGAGACTGCAGGCTGCTGCTAAGCACTGCAGCGTGGCACAGGCTAGAACTAGACAGCCCACAACAGAGGTTTTGGTCTGTGCTGTAGGCCTGGGTATGAGGAGGGGGAGGGGGAAGAGGAAGAGGAGGGTGAAGCTGTGCCTGGTGATGTTGTGGGTTGTGGTGGTTGTGAAGATGGGGATGAGGATGGGAGAGACCCACATCTCTAGGCCTGGCTGCACATGTACCCGTTGTCAGCACCTGATAGGGATAACAGTCACTGTTAGGGGTAGCCACGACGCTGTCCCACAGAGGAGCGAAGTACTGTCCGACAGACACCTCCCCCTGTACGCTGGCGCTGACTCGCTCCTGCCCGACGCCCACTCTTCCAGGATGCGGCCTATACGGCAGCTGTGAGGAGCGGGCCAAAGGGAGGCAAGTTTCAGGAGAAAGGCCAACCCCAGCCTCTGCTGCTCTGTGGCCCTGAGCACTGCTACTCACACCGTACATCCTCACTGCTCCCTGCTGATAGGGCTGCTGCTGTTGCATTTGAGCTTTGTGCTGCCACACAGTGTAGTCTCCTTTGTCCAAGTATCCAGCTTTGGCTCTGTCTGCGCTCTGTGTCGGTAGCACCGCTCCCGCGAAAGCCAGACTGCTCTGGGGAGGCACTCCCAGGACAAAGTCTGAGTCTGAATGCGCCACCGCAGCCACGGCCTGCAGCGAGGGGCTGGCTCGGGCCTCTCCCCCCAGCTGCGGCGCCTGGCTGTGAGGAACTCTGCTCATCTGCCTCATCAAGCTTTGAACCTCTGCCAGCTCAGACTGGGGGGGCAGGCTCTGATCTCCAGAGGCTATTCCAACGCTAGAACAAAGTGTCTCGATCGGTGCATCGGGCGGCTTGCATGAGTTTACGCGATAGGCTTTATGCCCGTTTCTGACGGTGTAGACATTATTCAAAGGATTATTATATGGTGCCACAGAAGCCTGGCTGTTTACATGTTTAGTCCTTCTGCCCTCTGAGGTTTTCACCACACCTTTGACCACCACAGAGGCTTTGACAATGGCCAACAAGCCTTGGTAGCCTCCCGAGTACGGATGCGAATAGGGGCTGTAGCGTTGACCAGTGGTGTCCAAGCCGTTTACTGTTTTGCTGAGCTGTTTGTGTTGCGGCACCCGCACATCCGACGGGAAGATTTTGATGGACAGTGGGCTGTTGGCAGTTTTCTGCGCAAAAGCATCCAACTCTGCAGGAGAGGGGTACCGAGAAATCATGGAGGACGGCTCCCCTGAGAAGAAAGCAGAAGACAGAAACAGTGATTAGCTCAGAAAATGAGCCCCTTGTGTCTTTCTTTTTTCTTCTTTTTCCCTCTTAAAATCTCAAACCGGTTTTATTACACACCTCCAGGATTTTTTTTAAACTTAGGCTCAGTTCAACTCACAATTAGTTCATTCTGGGAAAAGAAGAAACAGGAAAAAGCAAAGGGTCTAATTTCAAAGTAGTACAAAATCTATAAAAACAGTAGCTAGCACTAAATGCAGGATGATCCTGATATAGGAAACTCTGACAAATAAGCATACCTTTTTTTAATTTTTGCTTTTTAAAAATGTGATCAAAAGGAATCTTGGTTATTGGAGCACACCTTAGCAGAAGCAGAAGCCTCATCTAATAAGGAGTACCTAAGCAATTTGCCAACATAATTACTCAAGTATCACCACGTCCTGCCTGTGAAATGCCGTTCCACTTTATGCCTTCGTAAACTTGGACCTAATCTATGCAAAAGCCTGCAGCCTAAACTGTGAAGGAAAACTTGACGCAGATGGACAAAGAAAAAAATCGTCGAGGGCACAGATGATTGAATTGTGTGCGAGAAAGCAGACGGGACAAACTAAGATTGGATTTAAACACTATTATTCAGGCAATTTCATGGCTGCTTAACTCCTAGTGACTAAGGTGGGGAAAAGGCACCCCATTTAAAAACAATAAATCACCGTGTAGAAATTACCACCACCTTTCGGAGTGACACTTTTATGGAATTTCTGACATAAAAAGAAAAGCTGCTGAAATTAACCCAGATCGCAGCGTAAGTCGGAGGAAATCACAGCAGGCAAAAGAACAAAGCTGTAATCTGCAATAAAGAGTGAAAAGGGAAAAAAACACCGAAAAAAACCCTCAACAAAAAACAAAACACTTCATTTCATTTTCAATAACAAATCCAATTCCAGCTATGCAGGGGAGCGCTCGCTCGTCGTTCCCATTTGAAATTGATTTGGGAGTTCATTTCATTTCAGGCCTACAGTGAGCCTCCCGACTGTGAAAATGAGTCAATCTACAAGATCCATCTCATGAAAGAAATAAATTGGGTGTTTAAAATGGAGGAAAGAGGCAAGGTGGAGTGTTCAATCCATCCAACAATCTCCCAGCGGAGCAGAAGGAGCAGGCACCACAGTGCCAGGAGCATGAATGAATTCTGGGGAGAAATAAAACAAAAGCAAAAACACTGCTTATTATGTATCGCGGTGCAGCGCTGCTATAGAAAACAATGACAGCTGGGATGTTGGAGAGGTGTTTGTATTGTATACAACATCAAGATGGGAGCTATCCCTTCTCTGGTTTCCCATAATACTGCTCACGGGGGGG